TTCCAAGGAAAATTGAACCTATGTGGTTATGGTGATGATTGTTTTGCTTTGAATTATATGAATATGATTAACTTCGATTGTTGGGTTACATATGTTTAACTGAGAATGATGTTATGCAAATTTGATTTGGGGTTTTAATATAGTTGTGATTTGAAGGGCTACTGGATTAAGATATGATCTTTGCTTGGAATGAGTTTTAATGATGTCGTAATGTGTAATCACATGAATTTGATAAAGAAAAATGTGATGTTGTTGAGAATTTTGAAGTGGCCAAATAGGCCTAGTTGAATTATTATTACTCTTATTTTGGTCCCCTATGAGAATTTTGATATTAAATTAAATTAGGAAATGAAAATAAGTTGGAAGGGTGGAATAACTTGATGGGGCATCTGGATGATAAGATAAAATTAAGGTCAATGCTTAAGCATTTTACTAATGATCCCTGAATGGATTAAATAGTGGCTAAAAAAAATAATGAATAAAAATATTAATGAATAAAATAAATAAAGGGGGATGAATAAATTATGACAAATAAAATGATTTTAGTTTGGTAATCAATATGATGTGAATGTAAACTAAGTTAGTGTAGTGGCACCAATACCATCTTAGGAACTGTGAAATTCTTGATGCTAATAGTATTTAAGTAGTGTTTAAGCATGCAAGGTATAATCCGTTATAAGTATAGATAGAATGTAATTATGGAATAAATTAGTAGAGTATGGGCATGGTTGGATATCGAGAACTTAGCAAGTTAATGGGCAGTTTGAGCAAATATTGCCTCCTCAAGCTATGTAATTTTTTTTGTTGGATGGTATTACGGACTGAATTGGTATATACAACTAGAAATCTTGGTTGTTGGATTCTAAACACTTGGTATAAACAGATACAAACCGGTAAAGTTATAAAAGTTTAAGTTGAGAAAATGTGTAAACATTAAACACCCTTAGTATAAACAATGTGTAACATTAAACACCCTTAGTATAAAGTTAAGAAGAATGATAATGGGAATAGATTTGCGTTGTAGAAATTAGAATTATTGCCTCAAATGATTCCTATGTCATGTAAGATTACTGCTTTTTTCATTATGTGCGGTTGCAGTTATAATAAATTTGGCATAATAAGTTAAAGGAAGAACGTGAAGAAGGTCTTGGGAGTACTTGGGGCATAGAAAGATATGGAGTTAGCGGAGAGAACTTGGGATAGAAGATATGGATTAAGCGGAAAGTCGAATAGATTAAATTAGTCAAAGAGAAATTGTTATAGAATGGGAGATTTAAAGTGAAATTGTCCCCTTAAAATCAATCATTAAAGGAGGTTTCTGTGGAAAAAGAAGCGTGATGGTTGGAGCTAGAAAGACAGGTATAACACCGTAACTCCCTTTGCTCTGTCTACAATATTACTCTTTTATATGAGAAGTAGTTCTTATTATAATTTGCGATCACCTATGTCTCTGTTCCTATTACCCTTAGTAGATTACAATTCGAGGACGAATTGTCTTAAGGGGGGGAGATTTGAAATACCCCAAATTTTGTCTCTGTTCCTATTATGTCTCTGTTCCTCTGTTACCCTTGTACAGCAACATTACAAGTAAGGTGAAAAGCATCATGATAGCTATCAAGCATATGAAAATCAACTTCTTGAAGCTGTCAATCTCTGACTCCAAGCACTCCCTTTTTCCTCCAATCGTCAGAATCACACTGTACATTTTCATCATCTCCCTCTTCATGTACAACATCTCTTCCTTCAATTCAAAAAAGTCAGTAGCTACACTTCTTTGCCTCACTTCCAAATCGCTTCCTTGAGATCGATCTGATGAATCTATAGTTTTACACCATCCAAGAAAAGACCCGCATGCATCCAAGAAAAGACCCGCATGCATTTTCAACTACTAGTAAAATACAGTACTATTTTGGTTTTTTTTTTTTTTTTTGTGTCTGACGGATCCTAATGCATGCTTGTTTCCCCAACACTTGCAATACATATTCACATACCTTCCTTCCCATGCTCCATCGGCTGCTCTTGAAGAAGATTTTTTTTTTTTTTTTGTGTCTCTGAGATCCTAATGCATGCTTGTTTCCCACACTTGCAATACATATTCACATACCTTCCTTCCCATGCTCCATCGGCTGCTCTTGAAGAAGACCTGTAGGCTGTCTCTTGTTACCTGCAAATGAAATGGAGAGGAGCTTTTGTTTTTCCCCTTTTTCCCTTTCTCTGCGTTTTGTGAGAATGAAATATGGTCAAACCTCTTTTATTTTCATGCACAGTTCAGTAAGGGCATACTGCGTCATTATAAAATGTCTGTCTTTGTTTTTAACTGATTTTAACGGCAAAACACCAACTTTTCGGATGGAATGACCTTTTAATTAGACGGAATTAAATGTCGGGGACTAGTTATATATTACATTAAACGTCGGGGATTACTTAAATAATTATGTAAAACCTGAGAGACTAAATAATAATTTTCCCTACTTTTTTTAACAATCTCTTCGTAAATGTGTATGCTAAGTCTGGCTTTTTATAAATGGTTATTTGTGGAAATTCAAAATTCAAAAGTTATACATGATTCAATCGACACTTTTAAAGTATCACAAAGAGAATGGAGCATTAGACTATATATAATTGCTTAAAATTAACCCTAAATAATCTTATAGGACAATCAGATCGATTGGAAATATAAGAAAGGTATTGTTTGTCGATTCTGAGATAAATATTTTATTTAAATTATTAATTTTGTTAAAGAATTTTATAATAAATTTTATTTTATTAATTATGATGTTTAATTTTTTTCTACAAAAAATTCAAATTTTAGCTACTATATTTAATGAAGTAATAGAATATTTTGAAAGTTCTTTTGAGATTGGGAAGACTTATCTTATAACAAATGGAGTTGTGAGAGCAACTAATTCTTCTTTTGCTAATGTTGGTGAGAGATTGGAGTTGAACCTCAATAAATATACCATGTTGAAGGAGCATGAAAGGTCAATTCCAAAAGAAATCTTGCAATGATGTGACGGAATATGCTAGAGAAGAAAAGAAAAAATTATTAGGTTTGATACAGCTACGATTAATTAAAAACCTATTGCTTATATTATGACTTGAATTTATAATAAATCTTATTATATATTTCATATTATATTATATAGTCTTATTAATTAAATTTATTATATTTTTCAGATATTTTAGTTTTAGCTACTATTGTTCATGTCAAACCGGCATAAAATATAATTGACAGGTTCGTAATTATGACAAGAAAGTAATTACTATCTTAATAATTTTTCATTGTTAAATTTATTTATTATTTATTACCTAAAACTTACTATATTTTTATCTAGATTGGAGAATGTATTTTTAATATTTTGGAAAGATACGGTGTAAAATGAAGGCAAAATATTTCATTAATTGAAAATTGTATTCAGATATGAAATACATATCAATATGTTTCTATATTTTTGTATAGGAAGTTTAATAATAAACAACTTACAAAAAGAATAAAAGAAAAACACAATCTTGATTTGAAGTATCTAATCGAGTTAACAGAGCATAATATTTATGTTATAGGCGATCATTTACTCCACTTGATGGCTATTCATAGCCACTGTTCGACTTCATGGTCTTTCTACAAGTTTGATTTGATTACCTCTATTGTCTTTCTATTGATATTGGTGGTTATACTTATAGCAAGACAAAAAGTTTTTTTTTTTTCAATAGTATATAAAAGATAAATAAATAATAAATAATATTTTTTATTTTGTGGAGTATTAAATTTTATTTTTTTATTTAGTGTGAAAATGTGTATAATATTACCAAAATTCATAACTTTACAAATATAATAATTCTCTTATAAAGCTTGAAAAGCTTGAGGCACAATAAAATTTTTTTTTGTATATAGTGGTGAATTTATGTATTTAATAAATTCTTGTATTTACTTATTGACAATGTCACTCAAATTTGTTCTCATTATCAATTTATTAGTCAAACCTTAAAACTATATTTAATTAATTCAAAATAACAATAATAAATACAATAAAAATGCTCTTGATTAATAAGAAAACGAAGATAAATATTAAACTAAATTTAAATTTTAAAATTAAATGTAATTCTTTTTTGTCTTTGAATTAATTTAAATTCCACAAGTATTCCTTTAACTTCGAAATAAAATGTAATTTTTATAAGAAAGGCAAGAGATCTTTTTTTATTCACGTCAGTTCAGACTTCAGTATTGTACAAATTCTAAGTGTTTTTTTTTATTTCCCTACCAAAACTATCAAAATGAAAAATCCCTAATTTCTTGCCCTCCTTCCTTCAAGCTCCCAGTTCTTCCTGCCGCTGTCCAAACCTAGCCCCAAAATACAGTCAGATTATGGTGTATTTCTCGAGTCTCCATGCAATGTTCGCAATTTTGTACCAGAAGAACAAATTCTAACACCAGCTCACGCTCAAGGTTGAGGTGCGTTGAACAGGTTGTCCTGTCAATAAGATGCAACTCCATTGTTCTCATAGGCATACCTTGCTTATAGTGAGACTTGAGAGGAAGAAAGTCGAAAATAGTCTGGATTAACAGAGCGAGGAAGAGAGCGTGCGAAAATGGTGTCAATGGGTTGGGTTTGTTTCTCTCCCTTTCTTCAATCTCGTAGGTATTCTTGTTCGATTATGATGAGAATTCAGTCTAAAAACTTCCGTTTATTCAGTTTGGACTAATTCAATTTAAACCGGACCGACTGTATAATCGATCTTAGTTTCAGGTGCAGGACAAAAAAGAAAAAGCACAGCAACTTTATGCCTAAGAAACGTGAAGGAGCAATTTCTTGCGGCTCGAAACTAGATGACGACGATATGCTTGTATTTCACTTTTTCCTAGGAAATTATAATGCGTCCTCGTTTTGCAAATTGTTAACTTTTTCAAATAAATTTTATGATTTGGTTTTGACAAGCCGCAGAAAGGAGTAAAAAGGAACAATAGATTTATTTGACCACCAGGGAATGCTCAATACAGTAAAAGCAGCAAAACAAAATCAAAATATTATAAATCAAGAAGACAGCATAGCAATCAAATATTAAATAGATGCACATTGCAAAAAATTTCGAAGGCATATATGGTATAAGATTCTGCAACAGACTCAAATAGATAAAAAGTTAACAGACTAAAATCTTTCCAATCTAACAAAATCACATCTAAACTCTTCTCGCACAAAAATTACTTGCAGAAAGGCACCAATTCCGCCAGCCCCTACATAAAATTGCTCAACCCAGTTAATAGTAAATAATGTTCACCGCTTCTTAGAGACACCAACAGTCTTTCCACGACGACCAGTGGTCTTGGTGTGTTGTCCCCTGACACGAAGACCCCAGTAGTGCCTCAGACCACGGTGGTTCCTGCAAAATACAATCCAGATCAGCTGGTACCATGTTTCTTTAGCTAGTTCTAAGCATTATCAGAGTCGCATCTCCAATCATCTTATTGTAAAGCCCATTCGATATTAAGATTGAAACTGCTTTTTGGAGTAGTGTCATTTTAGATGTTGAAAGATTGACCATATTGTTTATGCTGTTTTGTAACTTTTAAAATTAGAATGTGAAATTTTGTTCAAAACAAGCGTTAACAAGCAAAAGTCAACATTTTTTAAAATAATATTTCTCAACAGCCGACTCGGCCGTTCAATCTATAATTTATCAATGTATCATTCATGGACATTGATAAGATCCTTCCAATTAGGAGCACCTTAAGAATGGCATAAATTATATGCCAAATAGCCCTTAGACTAAGGTCATCGTGCTTAATCCATAACATTCCCCTCCCATCCCCACCACACAACATAGAAAGAATACACAGAAAGGAAAGGGGCATTCTATTCAGAGAGAGAAAGTTGGACCAATGATAACACAAGGAATTGCTTTTATCAACCAAATATAAAAAATCCACATACCAAGCTATAACCAAAGATTGCATATAAACTACTCCCTGCTACCTAAAACCAGCTAAACAATAAAAAGAAAAAGTACCTGATCTTCTTCAATCGCTCCAAATCATCTCTCAACTTCATGTCTAGTGCATTAGACACAACTTGAGAATATTTCCCATCCTTGTAATCCTTCTGCCTATTCAAAAACCAATCTGGGATCTTGAACTGACGAGGATTTGCAACAATGACCATGAGATTATCCAGCTCAGCAGCAGTTAATTCCCCAGCCCTAAAAGCAATAGAAGCAAATTAAGTTATATGAATCACATAGAAAATTTAACCTTTGATATCACATCAAACTTGAGTCCATCCAAATAATCAAAACCAAACTTCAAATGCCATTATTCGATAATCCATCATGCATAGACCAGAATTAAATTTCAATGCAGGCTTGCATTATGACCCAAAATCTAATAGCTGATTGTCAATTCAATGAAGATAACAATTGGCGTTGGTGGCAAGATCATCAGAATAATAAATTGATAGATAATTAAGCCAAGTTCTGCTCCAATTTCTCCAATTGGAGCTTCAAACCTACTGTTTACCACCAAAGGAAACTAACTCACAAAAACACAATTGCTAATTATACATCATTTTAAAGAAGAGAAAAACCAGATGTATTGCCTTTGACTGTGAATTTCAGTTCTAAAAAACTTTCACAATTTTTCCAACAACAATAAAACCTTATCCAGAACAAACAAATAGCGTACAAGTAATCATCAAATCTCAACAAACATTCATACATACAAAAATCACAATTGCTAATTATACATCATTTTAAAGAAGAGAAAAACCAGATGTATTGCCTTTGACTGTGAATTTCAGTTCTAAAAAACTTTCACAATTTTTCCAACAACAATAAAACCTTATCCAGAACAAACAAATAGCGTACAAGTAATCATCAAATCTCAACAAACATTCATACATACAAAAATCTCAAAGCTTCAACTAAGATGAGTGAAAGATAAAACAACAACAATAACAACAAAAATTTAATCCATTTTATAATCTGAAATTATTCAAATTAAACATAACCATTAAAGAAAAATGCACAGGTAACAGACCTCTTGTTCATATCAACATCAGCTTTCTTGCAGACAATGTTAGCGAAACGCCTCCCAATACCTTTGATTGAGGTCAAAGCAAACATAATCTTCTGCTTCCCATCAACATTAGTGTTGAGCACACGAAGAATGTGCTGAAATTCTTCATTTGCAACCAGAGACTGCATTAAAATCCATACCCTCATTCAATCTATTATCTCTCAAAGATAAAAACAAACGCAGACAATACACGCAAATCCTTAAACAAAATGTAAGGCATGCGCAAATAAGCTATTGAAACCAAAATTACCATCTTGTATTATAGTGACACGCGAGGTACAGAGAAAATGGGGCTCCTACTGACCGAGAAGCAGCGGCAAATTGCTAAACCAAGAAGGGAGAAGGAGCTAGGTTTTTCAGAGGTCTTATATAACTCTGGCTAGGGTTTTGTTGTCTCGAAAGACGAGTTTACCCTCGTAAAAGCTTCATAATGCCTATGATGTCTTCGAGTCGATTTAAACTCGTGATGGTTTTCTTCGTGCTGTTGAATTGTTGATAGGTTTGCACACACGTGCTGTAACCTGATCCAGTCCAATCTGACCCGTTAAGCTTCGGGTTCACTTGATAAATCTGTAGGCTTGACTCGATTCATAAATAATATTATATATATGTATAATTATGAATTATTTAAATTAATTTAATTTGATCGAATAAATTTGAACATAAATACTAAATTATTTACATATTTATTACTAACTCTTGCCCTTTTAATTTTATTTTTATCTTTACTAGAAACTTGACTTGTAATTTAAAACTCATTGCATAACTATGTAATTGAATATTTTTAATTTTGTTGATTGTATTTCTTATTAAGAAATTTATTTATTGTGGTTTGCGAAAATCATTGTGTAATTATGTTTCTAAATATATTTAATTTTGTCGATTATTCCTCTTAACATAATTGTATTCTATTTAAAAATACTTTTACTACAAAAAAAATTCAAAAGTTAATGCTAGAAAATGTAATATGTAAATCAAATTACCTACAAATTAGCGACAAAAAAATTATGTCGATAAAGTGCTTGTCACAAATTAATTATTTACCGATTAACATTCTATCGGTAAATTACCTACCGAGTTTCTATCGCTAAAACTATATATTTTGTAGGCAAATATAAAAATTTATTTGTCATAGAATTTGTCGCTAATTTTTGTTGAAAATATTTTATTGGTATTTTGTCAATAATTCTGTCACTATTTTGTCGTAGAATAGTGGATATTTTTAATTTATAATTATCAAAATTAATTTATTTAGTCAGTAATCTGTTGAAACAGTACGAAATTGATCGGTAATTTATTAAAAATTAGTTGGCAAATGTGTGCAAAATTAAAAATTTTTAATTTGAAATGCCAATTAAAACCTATAAAAACACTTAGTTTCTATAAAAGTCATTTATTTACATTTGTATAATTGCAAAGTCATTTGAAATATCACAAATTTAAATTGTAATAATATTTATATAATAGCATACATAATAATATCACAATATATCAACATTCATATAGTTGTGAAATTATCCATACTAGTTAAAATAGTAATCAAAGTGAAATAAATACAACAAAAAACATATAAAAGCTAAGACTAGTCATCATCCAAACCAGCATCATCCTGATCCTCCTCCTGAGCTCCTCTTTCTTATGTAGTCCTCAATCCACCACCATCAGCAAAACCAGAAAGACTAGTGGGTATTGTAAACTAATTGACGGCATTAGGTGGATCTATATTAGCAAAAGGAGAATTCGATGCACAAATTGTGGTGGTATAAACTAGATGCATCCGCAAATGACGAGTACGCTGAGAAATCATCTCCTTTTGCTGGTTAAGTTCTCGCTCCATCTTCTCCTTTTGCTCCTCAAGCACTTTCTCCAAATAGTTTATCCGCTTCGCCTAAGTTTGGGATGCTCACCAGTCTCAAATGTAGATTGCACCAGACATCCCAGATCCTCTTTACATGTCAGAGTAGTAGCTTGATGCGTGTGATCCTATCTTATAAATATGCTTCTTATTTGAATCTGCTGCAACTTTAAGGAAAATATATGTCTCATCCTCTTTTGTAATGTTTCTTGCAAGATATTAATAATTAGACACTCAAACACAAAGGGTTTGCAACATCTATTAAAACACAAAATCACACAATTAAGTGGATATGAATCATTATTGGTAATATAATATTGACTTACAAACATTTCCTTGGAGCGTTTGTCAACCTAATTATTGCCATCTAGTTTTTTTGTGTGTGAAGATGCACAAACAACTCCCCCAATATAGGTTCCTTCTAGTCTCATCGGCTTATTGTTTTAGAAAAAACATTTAACTTTCCCATGTTTAAAGATATGAGTTTCCAAAAGCAAAAGTATATTAGACATATAATATAGACCTTACCATGCGTTGTTGGCGTTCTAATGCTGAGATGGAGCCTCCAACATAGAGAGATAAACTAGATCCTTCTCCACCTTTCTCAGACCCTCGATTCTTAGAAAAGATCTCTGATTTCGTAATGGCCTCAGGTATCTTCCAATATTCACTCCACTTTTCCCAAACTTCATCTTTAATATATGATTTTCTACCTTTTCTCTTTAATTGAGAAACAAAATTAGAATAATTATTTGTTGTCTGCCTATACCATGCTTGTTTTATCATTGCCTCTGATTTCGCATCCCACTTGCATTTTTCTATAAATTATTAACGACAAGTTAGTTATAAACTTTAAGTAATTAATTGCATGATGATTTCTAATATTAGATTTAATTCAATTAACAGATTGACAACTTCAAGAAAGTCACCCAAAATTCCCTCCAATATCTATCTTTTGTCTCGACAGTAACACTCTTCCAATTGACGCCACATGTAGCATGATGCTCCTAGAATCATTTTTTACTCGAGAGCATCTTGATGAAGGATACAACCTATATAATAAATCACATCACATAAAATGCAACAATAGTATTATATCAATTATCATATATGATAAAATGAATAAATGAAAAATATTTATGAATCACATACCCCTTTTCGTTGAGTTGGACGTAGACTCTCTGATCGATTTGTGACTGAGTTATCAGGATTATGGACCTATATTTAAAATGTAAAAAGTTTATTACAACATATTCATGGTGGAACATAAAGAATAATTAATTGATTTGGAATAATTATTTGTCTTACATAATTCTTGAACTATGATTGAAATTCTGTTTCTAGCCTTGTATCAACGTTAGTGTCACTAATTGCTGGTTTTGATTGCCGAAGTTCGGTTATATATATGCTTTTTTTAAGTATCGAATGACATATATCATGGTGTAACAAGTAGCATATCTCTTAAAAAATTAATAGAAGTTAACACATTACTGATTTTAAAATTTGGAAGAATTGCACTTACTTAACAAAAGGAGAAACTTCTTTACAATTTAAAAGGATATACATTTGCGCAGCTTGCTTCTCTTCTTCTGTTAGCCTTCTTTTTGGCTGAATACATAAATTACCTCCTAAACTTTCATAAAAAACCTTATGGCCTCTTTAACTTTCAAAATGACCCGCGACCCATCCAACATCAATTTTTATAATGATTAAATACTTCATTAGACTAAAAAAAGAGCTGTGTTCTACACGCGCGAGGACGTTGCAATTACGCATTCAAATGGCAAGTAATTTTGCCACGTAAGACTTAATGAATATAATAAAAAATTAAAGTGTAAACTAACTTTCTCTTTGACTAACTATGGATAAATTCAGATAAAAAATTTAAAAATAAACCAAGGAATTGATTATGCATCAATTCTCCTGACAACTTAGGAGCCACTTCAAACAAACCAAACAGAGAAAATTTAAACAAAAGTTCATAATCACAATCCTTTATGCATGACTTGCAATTAGTACAACGTGTTATGCCCAAAGTGCAAGCTCTACATGATTGATTAGCTTGATCTTTCCCCTAGAAACTCTCTACTGGCAATCATAAATGAGTTTTAATTTTTGGCATTTAGGGCATATCTCAATATCAATGGCACTAACATCATCACAAGAGAGATAAAGCTCCCCTAGACGATAAAATCGTGGTTTCTTGTCTTTCAGATATACAAGCATATCTGCACCAAGTAAAGACTTCAACTCTTCAAATTGCTTCTCTATTAAACAAAAGAGCCTGCCAATTCTCAAGTGCTTTATTCGCGGGTTTCCTGTAGACTTGAGAAGCCTCAAATTAGATAAGAAGCAGTTAACATTCAGTCTCACACATCATGGCACACATAACTGCCATGTATCAATTCTGCGTCATGATTATCCAATAAAGGAATGCATAAGATATAGAACTAGAACAAAAAAAAATACAAAAATGCATCGAATTCAAAACTAAAGCCATTAAACAGTACCACAATGTTAAACAGTGGCACAGTTTGATCTATTGCACAAAATCGTTTATTTCTTTTTAAATATCAAAAAATATATTTTCTTTTGAACAATAATTAAATAAGAGAGTTAGCATATTTTCATTCCATATATATAATATAATTAACATAGAAACATATCTGCTATAAAAATGGCTATAATAATGGATGTCTCGATTGTGTTATAAGGGTTTTTAAAGCAAAATCATATTTGCCCTCTTTGGTTTTGATTTGAGAAAAGGAGAAGCTTGTGGGTTTAATGGTTTAAGTTTCCATATTTTGGAGTCAAAATTGGGGTTTGTGGGTTGAAAATCCATTGAAAGGAGAATGACGATTTTGGCACAGGCTTTTAAAAAAATATAAAATAAAAGAAGAAGAAGAATAACAACAAAGATGAAGCTGAAGCGTTGAAGGAGGTGACGATGTGGCATAGAAAAATGCCATATAGGATGCTTTTATAGACCTCCACTCTCTTCTTCACGCGCGTGTAATCTAACTTTGACTTTCAACGTGACTAGGTATGTAATTATTATAAAAAATGATGTTGAAGGGGTCATAAGGTCATTTTAAAAGTTGGAGGGGCCATAAGATTTTTCGGTGAAAATTCAGGGGGCAATGTATTTTCGGCCCCTTCTTTTTTTTGCTTTGCCCATGGGTGCCCTGGATGGATAATGATAGATAAGTTCCTTCTAATTCATCTCTAAAAATAGGCCCCCTGTCATCATTTTGTGGCACTTTACGATGTCTTGTGTAAACATGAGGCTTAAAATAGTGTGCACAAAAAGTTTATGCTTCTTCAATAAGGTATGCATTAAAAATGGACCCTTCAACTTTCACTTTATTCCTCACTTTCTTTTTTAGCGAAGCATTGCACCTATGAGCATAATCGATTAACAATACAATTGGCGGTAATTAAAAGTCTATTACTATATGCAAAGGTGAATATTATAATCACCTCTCAAATGGATACATTCATCTATATTGCACAAGTGCTGCAAATTTTTCTTCATATGCAAGATGCACTGGTA